CGTGTTGTGTATTTTCGAGTGCTAATAGACATTTAGTAGTGCGCGATTTTTAAAATTTCGAGTGATTAGTGAGTGCCAATGGGGGAAATGGAGAAATCGTGCTACAAGGATCCGGATTAAAGGGTAAGTCAACACAAACTTATAATTTTTTAGCAAACCTACACTTTAAATTTTGTTAAATATTTTCAACTAATTTAATAACACGTACTGATTTTGTGTTTCTTTATTTGCAGTAGGTCCGTGTAAGAAGCAGAGGCAAATTGCTACAAAGGGTAGCAGAAAAAGATGCCATAATGGTTAGTGCATTTTATTTTTTTTATTTGTTTATTGCAAATTGAAGTGTGAGAATTTGTGATTTTTGAGTGCAACCGTAAGTATTTATTAAATTATGAATAGGAATTAATTGTGTTTTAGATGAAATGTATTATTTCTCAAATTCTTTTTCAAAATTTGTACAAGACGAGTTTAAATTTACTTTAACTAAATTAATTTTAACGAAAACTTTTTTTGTCTATTCAAGAAACATTAGCAGGAATAATACACTACCATGGACCTAGTATAGTAAATACTATCTCCAAGTACACTACGTATTGTAAGTAAGAATTAAATTTTGTTCCAGAATGAATGGTTAATTTTTTGGTTTGTTTCAGAAACTCCAATGACCAGTAAGTGCGTGTTGGGTATTTTCGAGTGCTAATTGACATTTAGTAGTCCGCTATTTTTAAAATTTCGATTTAATTTAAATTCAAAAATGAGTCTTTTTAAAAACTTGTAATATTGTTAGGAATTGTCTCAATATCAACAATTGTTATTTATTATACAAGACGATAAAGAAATTGTTTATCTATAAGTGAAAAGTTTAAGTTTACAAGTGGACTTTTTTCACGAGTAGATAAACAATCTTTATCGTCGTGTATAATATTTCGTTTTATTTTGTACTCACTTACCAGAATTTCTTGAATATAAACAGTAGATAAAAATTACTTTATTTCACTAGACGATAAAAGACTACTTTGTCCACTGAAATTGGTTGATAAAAGCACTCTTTAATATTGAGTACAAAATAAAATGTATTTTAATAACATCAATAATAATAACTTAATTAATAATAATTCATTAAGTTGCGAGGCGGAATATCTGTAGTGACGCTAGATTAGCGAATTTCTAACATTAATTCATTTCAACAATTCATCAACATTGTTACTTGATAGCAATAATACAGGGTGCGCCAGAACTCGCGCCCCAGAGAAAAATTTCAAGTAAGATAGGATACCAGGGACATGAAGAAAATGTTCAAAAAATTTTGGCATTCATTATTTTGACGTTTGACATTTTTTATGTCTATTTAATGATACTGATGATCTTGTATATGTTTTTTTTTTAATTATTTAGTAAAAGTTCAAAAATTTTGCCAATAAAAGCCACAAATAACATTAAACAGAGTTACAATTTAGGATACAACTTCCTTGTTTCCTCTTCTAATAGCCTATAGCAAAAGAAACTTGGAAAATTAATAGAATAAAAGTGCAAAATTTAAACTCTCATAACTTCGTAATTTTTATAGGTAGAATTTTTTTAACATTTTTTACATGTTCCTGGTATCTTACCTTAAATGGCATTTTTCTCTGGGGCCCGAGTTCTGGCGCACCCTGTATATCCGTAATGGTAAATCTTGCCTCACTGCATGTCTAAACCGCCGGGTCAGTGGAGTGTAAAAGTGGTGGAAATTATTTGTCAGAAAATTATGTCTTAAAATAATTATCTGCCAAATGGTTTCTTCTTCTTTTGCCGGGTCAAATAATAATAATAAAATAAGTGAAGTGTGTGAATTTGTGATTTTTGTGTAGGAGCAGTTACTATTTTTTAAATTATAAATAGAAATTAATTGTGTTTTATTTCCCAAATTCTATTTGAGAAAATTTTCAAACAAATGCAACTTTACAATAAATTTTTTCTTGTAATATTTACAAAAATAACTATCCGGTTGTTGGGATCTTTAAATTCGTTCAGGTGTTTAAAAGTAATCAGCTGTACCAACTCTTGTAATTTTATCTATTCTGCAATAGTGGGAAAACCCCATTAAAAACGCATCTCTTTCGAGGGGTGTAGCTCGCTTACGTAACATTTTTTGATACATGTTCATAGGAAACTTTTGTCTTAAAATTGAATATTCTATCACCTGTTTAAGTTTGTAACAATAAAAACGGAACACCCTGTATATAAGTATTATATACAGGCTGTATTATGAAAAACGCCCCAAGCCATAACTCCATTATTTTTAAAGTTATGACAATATTTCTTAGAACAAAGTTGAACATTTTTTGTCATCTATCGTTTAGGATAGATGTTAACTTAATGTTGTTTTCTGTTTCACCGGAAATGACATCATCTTTTTTTTTATGGAACACCCTGTATATTTAACCACTTTTGGATTCTTTGTTTAATTGTCTTCTAACAAGTTTTAGTACCATGTGCCTAAAACCAACCCTTCGTGAGATATGAGTCAATTAAAAATTTATTAAAGTAGGCAGTGGAAAACAAAATATTAAGTAATGTTGACAAATATTATTACTTTGCATTTTCTCTTATTATTTTTATACTTTTTGGTGTTCTGGTGATAATGTGTTAACAGACATGATTCAAGAATATTTTGAAAGCAATAAAAATAGTTGGAGACCACAACGCCTTTACACTGGGCGGTTTCCAATAAGAGAAGTTCCAATTCGTCGACCTGAAGAAAATTTGAGGATGTTTGGGGTTTTTAGAAAACCCAAATTAGAACAGTTGCGTGCGATAAGCCAACGTTACTTGCAATTTCTTGAATTCATGTTCTTGCATTTTCTTCAATACCTATCTAATTCTGTATCTCTTTGAAATTGGAGATGTTTTAATTTGGGTTTTCTAAAAGCCGAAAACATCCTCAAATTTTCTTTAAGTCGCTTAAATTTTCGACGATTTGGAACGTCTCTCATCAGAAATCACCCAGTGTAAAAGCGTAGTGCTCTCCCACAATTTTGATTTTATTCAAAATATGTCTGTTAACACATTATCATCCATGATTAACATTAAAAAGTATAAAACAATAAGAAAAAATGCAAAAGAATAATATTTGTCAACATTACTTGATATTATTGTTTTCCATTGCCTACTTTAATAAATACATTATTTGGTGAARATCTCACGAACGGTTAGTTTTAGGCATATGGTACTAAAACTTGTTAAAAGACAATTAAACAAAGAATCCAAAAGTGGTAAAATATACAAGGTGTTCCATTTAAAAAAATAAAGTTGATGAGATTTCCGGTGAAACAGAAAAAAGCATTAATTTAGCATCTATCCTAAACGATAGATGACAAAAAATGTTCAACTTTGTTCTAAGAAGTATTGTCATAACTTTAAAAATAATGGAGTTATGGTTTGGGGCGTTTTTCATAATACAGCCTGTATATAATACTTATTTACAGGGTGCGCTAGAACTGGCGCCCCAGAGAAAAATTCCATATAAGGTAAGATACCAGGAACATGGAAAAAATGTTAAAAAATTTTATCTATAAAAATTTCGAAGTTATGAAGGTTTAAAGTTTGCACTTTGACTCTATTTATTTCTGTTGGAAAAATAATTTTCCAAGTTTTTTTGCTATAGGCTATTAAAAGAGGAAACGAGGAAGCTATATCCTAAATTGTAACTCTGTTCAATGTTATTTGTGGTTTTTATTGGCAAAATTTTGGTACTTGTACTAAATAATTGTAAAAAAACATATACAAGATCATCAGTATCATTAAATTGATATAAAAAAATGTCAAATGTCAAAAAATATATGTCAAAATTTAGAATTTTTTTTAAACATTTTTATCATGTTCCTGGTATCTTACCTTACTTGAAAATTTTCTCTGAGGCGCGAGTTCTGGCGCATCCTGTATAAGGGGAAGCCACGAGGCCGCGTCTAATGGAACCTACATATTCTGGTTTGAAACTTTGCTACTTTTTATTTTTAAATTTCGATTTCAAATCACAAAAATCATTTCTAAATCGAGTGCTCGCCAACCATACTGGACTGTTTCATGGCTCTAGTTTTAAATTTCTCGAAAGTTTGCGGTATTTCAAAAATGAGGTCCACATCTTCGGCCAGTAAATCCCGGGTATCCCCCGTGTACTTCTTCTTCACGGTGTCAAAAATCGCGATATTCTGCTCAGCATCAAACAAAGCTCGCGTTTCCTCCACACTCTTCACGACATTCTGGCAGACTGGATCGTCCTCAAACTCAATATTGAACATCAAATAGCGCAAATCGCAGCGAAAAATCTGCTTGTCCCTCAAATGAATCGTCAGATTATTGAGTCGATTGGTTGGAATGAGTTCCAGCTCGTATCCAAGCTCGCTGAGTTTCTCTAAAAAAAACCTCAAACTTTCTCGCACTCAAAATTGAGTTTTTTACTCAAAAGTCCGTACAACTTCTGCGTTTTGTGTCTGATCACGCCGTGGGTTTCATACGGCCCAAAGAAGATTTTGAGTGACATTTTGTGACTGTTGTTTTTGAATCATGATCTGCCAAACAGCTGTTTTTTCAATAAAACCAACTAAATATAAAATGAGCGCCCGGATTCACTCCCCCACCAACAAAAATGCCTCTAATTGCGAAAATATCAGGACAGTATTTTGCCAGGCGTATAAAAACGATGTCGTACCAGAGGCCCTCTTTCTGGCAATGGAGGCCTTCTGGTCAGAAGAAAAAGAAAGTGAGTTCTATACTGCTTCCTCAGTTTGTTATATAATCATTTTCATATTAATGTGCATCGAAAGTGAGCATTTTAAGGTGGCAACCATGCGAAAATTCAAACAATCCCAACCTCAATCGTCCCTAAAAATTATTTTCTCAAATAAATGTGTACCCCAGTCTTTGAGGTAGCAAAAATAATTAAAATAGGGTGGAAAACATAAAGATTTTTCTCGATTAAATTTATTCTGAATGACATTAATGACACTTTTTGTGTGAATCGGCCTCTAATTTAAAGAAGAATTTAGACTTCTACAACCTACTTGATGCACATTGAAATGAAAAAGAGTATAATTGCCCTAACAGGTGGTTGTGAGTTCAAGGGTGGCGCTGTTAACAGGAGCTAACATGAGTTTGTTTTCTAATTGTTTTGCAACCTGGATGGTGAAAAAGCTAAAATCGACAGTGATCATTGTTTTCGTAATTTTAGACCAAAACTTTGCCAATTCCTGCAAATAGTTTCGATTTTTCGCTATAAATAAGTGTGCTCTCTGTGATGTAACCGGAAATTCGGTATCTTGTCAAGGATTAAAGAATTTTTAAATAAATTTGTAGTGTTTTTAATATTAATATCTGTAACACCGGATGACTATTATTGTTTGTGACAAAAAAAATCGGCTAACACTAAATTATTGGTAATTCTTCTAATTTGTAAATGAGCAGTTTGATTGATTTTATAGCAACTTGAGGAAAAAAATCACAATCATTTACAGTCACCTGGTAGTATGTTTATTTATCAGACATTTTTTAAATACATAAAGAAAAGATTTCAATTAGTTATTTGCCGATCAAAGCGTCGTAAGAATTTGAAATTAAGTTGTCAACACAAATGTCAAATTCAAACGTCACATTTTTACTGTAATTTTTTTTACAGTTTCCGCTTGTAATGCTGGATCTTTAATTGAAAAAAAGATGTTAGTTTGCTTACACATTTTGAAGAATTTTTTTTCTGACTATAAACTGTTTTTATTTTTACTTTGGAAAAAAATAATAGTGAAATACTTTAACATTTGGAAATTGGTCTGTGTGATGTAATCGGAAATTCGGTGTCTTGCAGACCAGGGATAGAGAATTTTTATGTAAAGTGTTTATGTTTTTTATACTTTCATTTTCATCAAACACTTTTTTAATAGTTTAAAATGAAACGACCAAATTTGGTCATTTCTTTCACGTTTCAGCTACTTATTATTGTATCAACAAGAAATTACTCCCTAGGAATTAGGGATATTCGTGAATAGGTTGCCATAAATTTGGTTAGATTGGTTTGTAGTGACAAACAAGAATATCATAACTAGTGTCAAAAATTTAGGTTAAGTCACATGTTAGCTTGTGTAGGTAACTGAAGGTTGACAGAAAACGTCAACCGTCAACAACAAGGGGTAACCAACCCTAAACATTCAAAATTACTTCTGAAAATTCTAATTACAAACAACATGAAAAACGTAATTTTCCTAAAAATTCAAATCCTAGGTGGTAATTTCTTGTTGACAAATCTGTATTTAGATGATGTAAATTTCCTATTAAAGTGTCCTATGAATTTGAAATTATGTTGGCAACACAAACTGACAAATTCAAACGTCACATTTTTGTAGTCAATAATTATTGTCATTCATTTCCGAGGGCCTACCACTGACATGGTCGTCATCTCACGGTCACTAATAATAATTCAGTATTACCAACTTAGTTTCAAAGTCACAGGTCACTGATCGGAGATTTATCTGAAAGCATGGTAATTTTCCAATTTACAAAAACTTTGAAAATATTTAACATATTTAAAAAATGTTTGATAAGGATAAAATTTTGTCATTTATTTCAGGTTTCAGCTGTTTATTAGATGGTCTAAATTTCAGATCAGTGTCATATGAATCTGAAATTAAGTTGGCAACACAAATTGTCAAATTCAAACGGTGTTGTAAACTTAATTTCAAAGTCACAGGTCACTTTGATCGGAAATTATTAAAAGCATGGTATTTTTCCAAACATTAGTTTTAGAAAAACGTCAAAAATGTTTAATGGATTATACATGGTGCACCAGAACTCGCGCCCCAGAGACAATTTTCAAGTAAGGTAAGATACCAGGAACACGAAAAAAATGTTTCAAAAATTCTATCTGTCAAAAATTTTTGACATTTGACATTTTTTATATCTATTTAATGATACTGATGATCTTGTATATGTTTTTTTACAATTATTTTGTAACAGGACAAAAATTTTGACAATAAAAGCCGCAAATAACATTGAACAGAGTTACAATTTAGGATACAGCTTCCTTGTTTCCTCTTTTAATAGCCTATAGCAAAAAAAACTTGGAAAATTATTTTTCCGGCAGAAATATAAATACAGTCAAAGTGCAAATTTTAAACTCTCATAACTTCGAAATTTTTATAGATAAAATTTTTTTAACATTTTTTCCATGTTCCTGGTGTCTTACCTTATATGACACGAGTTCTGGCGCACCCTGTATAAGAAAAGTATCAAACTGGTCATTTCTTACAAGTTATGAATATCCAATCAAAGTTTGAAATTAAATTGGTAACACAAGCTGCCAAACACAGACGTCACATTTTTGTAGTCAATTGTTAAAAAAATAAGTTTGCATTTATAAAAGTTTCTGTTGTAAACTCAGCATTTTTAAAATTTCTGTGAAAAAAAACATTTTCAAAAATTTTATAAAATATTTTTATTTTTAACTTTAGAAAAATTCAGTAGTGAAATTTTCAATTTTGTTTTAATGTACCAAAAATGACGTAGACTTGATGTAGACTTTATTTTCCTTTTAATTCGTGTCTGTTTTAAGAAATGACAAATCGACAGATGTTTTTTGATTTAAAACTGCAATAAATATACGATTGAATGTGCGATTCTGTTTTTCGTTCCACATACCGTTTAAAAATAGCGTTAATGTCGAGGAGACTCACCCATCATTGTTTACTTTAAGTGAGTGAAACAGTTTTCAAATGATTTGCACCTATTTAAAGTTGGATGAGTTGACTCTATACCGGGTGACTAACAATGGCTGGTTAGGTTGGCAACAATGAGTGGGGTTGACAGTTAGACCTTCACCCCATTCCTTGTGTGTTATACCTTTTTTTATGATTCTCTGAGCAATAAATTGCATTTGTTGAAAACCGAGACCGCGCCCCCTGCCGTGTGTCCCGCCGCAGGCAGAACGCAATAGCGTCTTGAATCTATTTCTGCACCACTCAGCAATGCAGGGCAGAGGGGGGCGATTCCCGACCAACTTCTATCCCGGCTAAACCAATTCTGTCAGTTATTCGAAACCTGTTGAGTGACCGAAAAAAAAAAACAACACCACACGAAAATCCTTCCTCGATTAGTGCTACATCTCGGCCAGGATTTATTGTTAATGTCTAATTATAGTTTTTGTTCGCTTGGTCCAATTTATTTTCGTGAGTCGTAAACTCGTGTGGTGCTTTAGTGGTTGGTTGGTGGGCTTTGAATCGTGATCCATGGGCAAAACGCATCAAATTGTGCTCAACTTGCGGAGGGATTCCCCCACTGAGCAATGGGGATTCAGTCTAGTGGGTGGTGCCGACGTCAAGATGCCGCTGATTGTCACCAGGGTAAGGCAAGGTGACTTTGTATCATGTTTGCACACAATTTTGCCAAATTTTCAAAAATAAAATATTTTCATTGCCTCGGTTTGGACCAAAAACAGGAAGACCTGACCTGACTTGACCGCAACACTTTTGTTTAGTTTTTTACTAATATTTCGAGGCGGCTATACTGAAGATACTGGATGAGTATTAATGTTGGTGACAAAAATCTATTAGCAACACTGAATTATTGGTGTTTATATGAATGACATTTGCCCATAAAAATGTGACGTTTGAGTTTGACAATTAATGTTGCCAACTTAGTAAATTCTTCTRTTTTAAACATTTGTTTTCTAATTGTAAAGAAATTTCGAAATTTCTTTGAAGATGCCGCTGATTGTCACCAGGGTGAGGCAAGGTGACTTTGTATCATTTTTCGAGGATTTGCACACAATTTTGCCAAATTTTCAAAAATAAAATACTTTCATTGCCTTGGTTTGGCCCAAAAACAGGAAGACCTGACCTGACTTGACCGCAACACTTTTGTTTATTTTTTTGCTAATATTTCGAGTTGGCTACACTGGATAATGTAAGACAGAAGATTCTGGGTGACTATTAATGTTGGTGACAAAAATCTATTAGCAACACTGAATTATTGGTGTTTATATGAATGACATTTGCCCATAAAAATGTGACGTTTGAGTTTGACAATTAATGTTGCCAACTTAGTAAATTTTTTTTTTTTAAACATTTGTTTTCTAATTGTGAAGAAATTTCGAAATTTCTTTGAAGATGCCGCTGATTGTCACCAGGGTAAGGCAAGGTGACTTTGTATCATTTTCCGAGGATTTGCACACAATTTTGCCAAATTTTCAAAAATAAAATATTTTTATTCCCTCGGTTTGGACCAAAAACAGGAAGACCTGACCTGACTTGANCGAGGATTTGCACACAATTTTGCCAAATTTTCAAAAATAAAATATTTTTATTCCCTCGGTTTGGACCAAAAACAGGAAGACCTGACCTGACTTGACCCCAACGCTTTTGTTTATTTTTTTGCTAATATTTCGAGTTGGCTACACTGGGCAATGTAAGACAGAAGATACTGGGTGACAAAAAATCTATTAGCAACACTGAATTATTGGTGTTTATATGAATGACAATTGCCCATAAAAATGTGACGTTTGAGTTTGACAATTAATGTTGCCAACTTAGTAAATTCTTCTCTTTTAAACATTTGTTTTCTAATTGTGAAAAAATTTCGAAATTTGTTGTAGGTGGGATTTGGCTCACCCTCTGACGGGGTCCTGCAACGTGGTGACATCATCACCAAAGTGGGCAACTACGATGCCCGAGACATTCGTCACCAAGATGCCCAGACTTTATTTAAAAACGCTGGCAACAATATTCGAGTGGTAGTGCAAAGGTGAGTATTTTCACATTTTTCGAAATTTTAATTTTGGCAAAAAAATTACGTACTGAGACACAATTAATGAGGTGGTGGCGCGACCTAGAGCAAGGCTACGGTTCATTAACCCGAATTTACAAATTAGTTTTCTTGTTTTGTTGTTAAAATGCGTAATAATAAAAACGTTTGGTACCCTGCAATCGAAAAAAAAAAAAAATAAATTAGAGTATGCTAAAAGTGAAAATGACCATTCACCGTTTTCGTCTTGTACAGTATTTTTGTAATAACTTGCAACAAAAATAACTTGCTTTTAAATGATTAACGTTGCTCAACTGAGTTAGCTAAATGATGTTAAAAATAAATGCAAAAGAATTTATTTCTGTTTAATTTTTGTTTTTTTATTTTTTTTTCATTTCTTCTTAAACAATTCTTTCTTGTTTTTTACTTTTATTATTATTATTATTATAAAAAAATTTTTGCTCTAAAGTAAAGATTATTTCACTCAAAATGAATAAAACGCACACTTGTCAGTTTCCGCTGACCATTTGATGTCAAAAATCAGGATTGCCATCTGGAGGACTTTAATCACCGCCTACTGCTCTAATTTATTTATTTTTTGATTGCACGGTATTTGGGCAGATATAGTGTGTGTTATTTGATTCATGACACCACCAGGTCCAAGAAAAATACGAAAAAATACAGAAAAAAATTATAAAAAATTATGATAATTAAAAACTTCCAGAGAAAACAATCCTCGACACAATACTAGCACAGGATCATCAAGGACCAGCTCCCACAATTACAGTCCTTTGTCCGTTTCACCGCATCTTTCTCCCAAGGGAAATTACTCGACGCCTTCGCCATACAGTCCAGCAGGATCAGCACTGACTCCATACTACTCCTCGCCGTTGACGCCGATCGACGATAATTATTTTGAACCGGTTTACTATGGAAACAGCAGGAAGAACACCGCCAACGGACAGGACATCCACGTCACCAACCAGGTAACATTTTTGATAAATAAGGAAAAAAGAAAACAATAAAAAAATAAAGTTCCAATTTGGAGAAAAAAAAAATCACCCTGTATGTACTACTGAATTAGTGAATTAAGTATTGGTAATCCCGATTGATAATTTCGTCAAATTTTCTTAAAGAAATCGAAAAACTACCAATTGGGTTGAAAATAATTCAATTTTTTTTTACTAAACAATGTCCAAAATGACAATTTCAGCAAAAGACGCAATTATTTTGCAAAATTGCGTTGAAGATAAGCCAAAAATTCAACAAAATAGTGGTATTTCTTCCTTTTGAGCACATTTTTGAGATAAAAAAATTTAAACAAGTTAAAAAATTA